AAAAAAAAAAAAAAAAAAAAACCTTAAATAAATATAATTTAATTACGTTTGAACATTATATAAAATACATGAAGATACCTTTAACTCATATCCTTAGAACAATAGCATTTGTATAGTCCTAGTGTTGAGTCAAGGAGACAAAAACTCCTTTCATGAATCTAAATATCAGGGCTGGAAAGATAACTCAGAGGCACAAGCGCTTACCTGACAAGCACAAAGACCTGAGTTCGATCCCCAGCCCCACATTCCATGCGGTCCAAACTCTGGGCGTGCTTTTATGAATTTTGTGAGTGGAAAAATTTGACATTAGCCAAAGTTCATGTGACTCTGGGTTTGGAGAAGGTCATGGAAGGGTCTACCACTGGAGTCAGATCTAACCAGGCAAAATGCTATCTGGAGAATCCCTTTACTGAATGAATATGATGTGTTCTTTGGTATCAAAAAAAGATTGAGAACAGTGTAAAGGTATTATTATTATTATTATTATTATTATACATTTTAAGGGTGATATGAGTTTTCCCTTGCTGGCTCGAACTTAGTTCAGTCATTACTATCTCTCATCTAGGACAATGGAGCAGTATGAAAGTACTATTTATCATGTTGAAGTTTTAGTGATATTTAATATTTTTTCTCATAGCTTACGTACTTCTGAGACCAGCTATCTAAATGAGGCCTTTTCCTTCTATTCTGCCATCAGACAGAGATCATATTATTCTCAAGTCAATAAAGAGGACAGGTAAATATTTACTTTGGTTCTATAAGGAAGAGGATAAATGACTTAAAATCTGTAGTCTTTGTGGAAATTGTACAGAAAAGACACATTTGTTTGTGACTTGCAATCATTTTTTCGGCTTTATTGAATGCCTGTCAGGTAACAGGCCTTCTAAAGCATGCAGAGGTATATGTTACTTGAAAGCGGTGATATTATAGATGGCATAACACATACCACAATGCAAGGTACAGTCACAACACAAATGAGGTTGGGATTCTTTCTTTAGAAAAGATGAGGATCGGGCTGGAAAGATGGCTCAGTGGTCTAAAGCACCTACTTGGAACAAGCTTGGCAAAGCACAGGGACCGCGGTTCAATCCTCCAGCACCACAT